GAGAGCTGAATCTAGTTCTACTGATCTCTCTTAAAGAGAGATCTTTCCTCTGTTGTTCAGGTGAACATCCCCCATCCCCTCAAACATTTCCAAAGCATGCGGTTTTGAATTTCTTCACCCTCTCCCAACTCCTGCCAACCATGATTCTTACACCTGATAGTTGGACTATCTTATATACTTCATATAAGTGAAATCATGCATGTTTGTCCTTCTGTGATTATTTCATTTACAATAATGTCCTAAGGTTCACCTATGTTGTTGCATATGGCAGGATTTCCTTCTCTTTTAAGGCTGAATAGTGTTGAGTGAATGTCTTATTTTCTTATTTCCTTTTTAAAATGTAGACTACAGAACTTTGTGCCAGGCTCTAGGTTTCTCTCAGCTACACAAAGAGAGTGAGATTATCCCCTCCTTTACTTTATTGATTATAATTTCCTCCTGGTTTTTCACCTGGCTTCATTGTCTTCCGGAGCTGGAAGTTGTCCAAAACCCTACAGCCTTTTCTCTTGCTCTCCTAAGCTGTGCCCATTCCCTATTATGCTTGTACATGGTATTTTCTCCCCAGGGAAGGATGTTACAGCTTTCCCAACTGAGCCTCATTTTGCCATGCTTGGTCTGTTTTTTCTTCCAAACCTTTTGAGGGCTTTTTGAATCCTGATTCTTTATCTGAATGATCCTTGGCTTTTCCTAGTTACTTCTTCTGGGTAGATGTGATGAGCCTGGCTGCTAAGTCCATATCCAAGGCATTGACAAAGACATTGACTGAGACAGGGCGGAGGCCAGTGCTCTGTGATGAGCCACCAGAGCTTGCTGTAGAACCATGGTATCCAATATCTGGCCCCAGATGTGCTGACTAGGAATCATCTGGGTTATCTGTTTAAATACAGATTGCTGATTACACAGAAATACAGAATTAGAACTGATATAGGTGGGACATGGGAACCTGTATTTTTAATAAGCACTCCAGACAATCTCACTGTGTAGCCATGTTTGGGAAACGTCAAACTCTCAAAACAAATGCCAGTATGATACGGGTCCAAAGCTGACATCTAAGGAATCCAGCCTGATGGGATGGGGTAGAGCCATGGTGGATCACTGTTTGGTTCTATAAATACAGTTGACCTTTGAACAACATGGATTTGAACTGTGTAGATCCACTTATACATGGATTTTTTTTTCAATAAATACAGTACTGTAAATGTATTTTCCTTATGATTTTCATAAGTTTCTTTTCTCTAGCTTACTTTAACAATATAGCATATAATACATATAAAACACAAAATATGTTTTTATCAACCATTTATGTTAACTGTAGGCCTCCCATCAAGAGTAGCTACATTTTGGGGGAGTCAAAAGTTATATTTGGATTTTCTTTTTTTTTTTTAAGATCTCATTTATTTATTCTTGAGAGAGACACACACATAGAGAGGCAGAGACACAGGCAGAGGGAAAGGCAGGCTCCATGCAGGGAGCCTGATGTGGGATTCGATCCTGGGACTCCAGGATCACGCCCTGGGCTGAAGGCAGGCGCTAAACCGCTGAGCCACCCAGGGATCCCCAGGGATCCCCTATACTTCGATTTTCAACTGAGTGGAGGGTCCGCACCCCTAACTCCCATGTTTTTCAAACTTCAGCTGTGTAGTCAGTCCACTCATGCCCCACACCCATCTGGGCAAGTGCACACAATTGCTCCAGACATTTCTCTGCTCTCTCTCTCCTCTTCCTCTTCTGCTCTTTACTTGCTGAAAGCAAGAAGTCTCTGGTTCTGTGTCTTGGCTTCTGATACCAGTTTCAAGTCCTGGATTTGGGCACTACGTAAGACCTTCTCTACCCCCTACCTCCTCCCCCTTTACCCTCTAGGCCCCTCCCCAGCCTCCTGGTCTTGCTTTCCCATGGGCCCTCTGTAGACAGCTCTGATTTGGCCTCCCCTACAGCTTCTGGTGAGTGACTCCACTTTCTCACCCTTGTATATTGAAACAGGCAACTCTAGGGATACACCTTAGCTTTTGTTTAGTATGTTGTCCCAAACCTGCTAGCTTCTCAAGGACAAGACCTTATTCAGATTTACATCATATTCCTATTTAATTCACAGTGTCTACACTGCCTAACACACATCGTGATAGGGATGGTACACAAATTTTACAAAATTTTTCTCTCTGATAGCAGAATTCTCTAGTCTGATGTGATAACTGCAATTAATGGAAATACCACAGGCTTCTAAGTGAAACAGACTTGAATTTGAATCTCAGCTCCACCATCTCTTACCTATATGATCTTAGTTAGGCAAAGATAATTCACCTCTATGAACCGAGAACATCTCAATTAAAAATAAGGAGTGTGGGCTAGGTGTCCAAGGATGCTTGAAGTTTTCACATCCTATGATTCTTAAATCACAGACCTTCCCTTGCTGGCTGAAACCCTACCTTGGTGTCCTTGCAAGGCAAATCTTTGCAGTTGAACAGTGCTGCTCAAATTGAACTGGAACTGGAATCCCCCCCCCACTCCACTCCCCCCGCACATGGCAGGCTGTGCAGACCCGGTGTGAGCATAAGGGCTCTGTGGGTGCTCTCCAGCACCACCTCCTCCCACCCTGTAATCAGCCTACCCTGTCACTGGAAGCAGGCAGCCCTCCACTGTCATTCTCCTTGTAATCACTCTGGCTTCTGCCTGTGAATTCCTTTTCCCCACTCTTGTTTATCACTGGTGAAGCATTTTTTAATCAAAACAATTAAATATGCTCAATCTTCCTCAATTAGTAATGCATTAACAATTAAAAGTACTCAAATAGAAGTGGCAGGAGAAGCCCTGTGCTTGATGCTGAGTGCTGGTGCTCATACCTTGCAGCATCCCCTTCCAGGCGCTTCCAGCCCTGGAGTGATTCAGAAGAGTGTACAGAGGCATGGGGTTGGAGTTGTGTGTGGCTCAGGGGAGTCTAGAGAGGGACAAAGCCAGCCCCTGTCTCTGCAAACAGGAAACAAGCCCAGTGTGACCACCAGCCTTTTCTCAGCTCATACAGGGTGCTTGTGACTGAGATTTGTTTAGTTTTACTTTTGAAAAATACAACATTTGTACCCGGTTCAAGTATACAACATGAAGATCTGATATACATATACAAAGGGAAATGATTACTGCAGTGCAGCTAATTAACGTATCTTCTCACATAGTTTCCTTTGCCTGTGTGTATGTGATGAGAGCACCTGGAACCTCTCTCTTTACAAATTTTCAGTGTTCTATCCAATACGATGAACTGTCGCCATCAGGCAACACATTAGATGTTCATACTTATTCATCCTACATAAGTGCAACTTTGTTTCCTTTGACCAGCATCTCCCTGCTTACCCCACCTCTGCACCCCTGGCAACCACCTTTCTACTCTTTGCTTCCATATATTTATTTGGTTTTTTTAGAGTCTACCTATAAATGAGATCATGTCATTTTTTTTTGTTTAGTGTCTGGCTTACTTCATGTAGTATGACATCCTCCCAGTTCATCCATGAACCTGGTTGTGGCACATTATATTATATAGATATAGCTGTAGATACATAGATAAAGATATTATATATATATATATATATATATATTATATATTATATATATACATATATATACACACACACACAGACACCACGATTTCTTCATCCATTTATTTAAGTGACTGGAATTTGAATTCAGGATTCCTGACTCCTGAGATTCTTTCTGTCAGAAGCCCATACCACAGGACTCATGGTGTATATGTATTTGCTCACTTTTTTCATTAATCAATTACTTATTCTCAAAATAGTTAGGGAGCATCTCCTTCACAGCAGACACTGTCTGCCATGTTGACAAGAGAGCGGTGAATAAGGCACAAATATTTGACCTCACAGAGTTTGTAGTTTGATGGGGATGCAGGCAAATAAACTTGCTTCTTCAATACTCCCTTGAAAAGATTAGATCTAATCCTTAGCTCAATTGAATAACTGACCTAAATTATTTTTTCCTTGTGGTTGCCATAACAATGCAGGGATTGGTAATAATTATTGTATAGTTGTAGTTAAAAGTAATGATAGTTCAAAAATGCAAACTCCAGTTCAGAACCTTCAGAAAACCTGAGCCACAGATAAAGCTGGACTCTGGTCAGGACCTTGCTCTAGTCCATTTTTCTAGCCTTACTTGCCAGCCCAACGAAGGGCTGGACACCCAGCTTTGTTTGTGTACAGAGTGAGGGATTGGGATAAAATGATTTTACAGCTTTGAGGATGATGTTCCTCATCTACAAGATTCAGGTTCCTCCGTGGGTCCCCAGATGTAGACAAGTATAGAGATAGCTAATGTGGGACTCAGTTATCATGGGGCCTGAAGTCAGGTTGACTCCCCATGGAGATCTATCCATCTTCTAACAGTACTCTGACCTCTCCAAGGTACTGAGAGGTCCTAAGCAAAAAATAAATAAATAAATAAATAAATAAATAAATAAATAAATAAATAAATAAATAATTGTGCAAATATGATCATTCATGCCTGACTGAAATACATTGATAGCTCTGAAAAAAGAAGGAAGCATTCTGATCCAAATAAATCTGCTTCATGGAGAACATGATATTTGAACTGGAGCGTGAGTAGACTTTGGAACGATGAGGGAGGGAGGAAGAGGCATTGTGTGCAAAATGGGACAGTGAAAATGGTGCCAATCATGGGCCAGTTACTGCAAGGGGCACAGGGCTATATGGATGGATGAAGCAGAATTTCTGCCCCAAGGAGGCTCCATGAAGAATGTGCAAAGGAAAGGGAACTGGCACTTTTGAGCAACTAGTATGTGCAGTACACATTCTCCTCATTTCAAGAATTGTTTGGGCGTGAGTCACACAGAAGAGAACACTGAGCTTGGGTTAAAGGACTGGGCTCTCAACCTAGATCTCTTAGACTCCAAAACTGAAGTTACAACTGCTGTGGATGGTTGTTCTCCACTCACTGTCTTGAAGCACCTCAGCATTTTGTGTCTCTCCATCGCCTTGTTGCAGATATTACCAGCAGAGATATCGAGAAGTGCTTTGGAATTTCTGTGGGCATTGAATATGACTATGCAAACTGGATGAAAATTGGAGGAAGTTTAGAAGGAAAAGGTTGTGAAAATATTGGAGGTGGCGATTCTAGTAAGTATTGAGTAATGGGTCTCCCAAAAAGAAGCTAGACCTTTCCTTGGATATACACTCAGGGCATGAACATGATTTTCCCCCTCAACTGACTTCATTACAGTCAATGGTCACACTGAGTAGCTGCTAAATATCCCAAACCAATCGCCTGTTGTGGCTCTATTTTGAATTCATCATGGGCTGAGATCACCTTAGAGATATGTGGTTTTTGGAAAGTACCCTCTCCTAGGTTTCGAGCACTTGACAAAGATGAAAGAACGAACTGGGATGAAAGGAATGTATAGACCGAACCTGGGTAGTTGACTGTTGAGATGAAGGTCCCTCATGTTATAGTCCAGAGGGAAGAAACAAGGCTTCTGAGAGGGACAAATATAGTCACCAAGGTCAAAGAACAATTATTAGAGAAAGACTGTACACAGATATTTTGTGGCAGTTCCTGAACAAGTCAGTGTGTCTTCATGCATGCATTCATTCATCAAATGTATTGAGTACCTTTTTTTCAGGTGAGAGACACAGAGGACACAGGGATGATGAAACGGATTACAGTATAGTGCATGAGGTAGATATGAAACAGGTACAAGTTACACCGATCGTGTTAGGCTATTCATGCCTCAGGGTCTTAAGCCAAATTGTTTCTCCTCTGTGATGCCCTTCCCTCCTCTCTCCATTTATCTATAAAAATTCATTCACTTTTTTACACCTTTCACCTAGACCACTCTCCTCCCTCCTCCACTGTAGTTTGTATGTGTTTCCTCATGCCCCTTCTGAGCCCCATCTGTCACAGGACCTCTGATATTTAATTGAATCTCATTGGTAGGCAGCAGACACTGAGGAAACATGTGACATATGAAGGAATAAATGTATGCATGAATGACTCCAACTCCATTCTTTCATCCTTTCCCTCTGCCATGCTGGGCTGGGCTGTCTTCCAGTGTCTGCTCTAATGGGTCCATTTCTAGGGTTTTGTCCTGCTCCTCTGCTTTGTTCTGCTAGTTAACTGAGCAAGGTAGAAGAATAGGAGACAGCTCTAAGGGGAGCAGTGGAGCCTACCGACCAGTCCTTTGGCTTTTTGGAAAATGAACTAATGCAGTTATCTTCTTGATGGCAGAAGGCCACAGGCTGACCGCAGCTGTGGAAGACATCATTTCTCTGGTGCGAGGTGGCAGTTCTGGCTGGGGTGCTGGCTTGACTGGAAAGAGGAGCACCATTACATACCGTTCCTGGGGGAGGTCATTAAAGTATAATCCTGTTGTTATTGATTTTGAGGTAAGTCTTTTCGCACTTGAAGAAACTCTACGTCCATGAGGAATGAAAGTGAAGCAGACCAGATCATTTCATATTTCTTATTATGAGCCCATCAAAGAACAAGATTAAATGTAACGGCACACTGATCTGCTGGCCTACCCCATGCCTGACTATTGGGAGTGCGTGACTTTAAACCCAGGCCACAGGACCACTGGGGGCAGAAGCTTTATATCTGGGCAGAGCCCAGTTTTATACTAGTAGTCCCAGAATTTCTTCAGAATTAGGCCACATTAAAATATAGGAACTTGTATCCACACAGAAAAGACTTTAAAGTTACATTTGTTCAAGTAGGGGTTGGCAAGCTTTTTCTGTAAAGGAATGGATAGTAAATATTTTAGGCTTTGTGACACACATACAGTCTCTGTCATACAAATTCTTCCCCTCCTTTTTATACAAACTTTGACAGACATAATAACCATTCTTAGCACAAAAGACGTACGAGAACAAGCTGTGGTCCCAAGCTGTATTTGCTGCCTCTGCTCTAAAGGTTCCCATCCCCTCATCATAATGAACCTCTTGTCTAGATGTGAGTCTTGCCATGGAAAAGATTAGGGACCTGAGGCTTCAAGTCACCAGTGGGCCATTTTTTTTAAAAAAAAGATTTTGTTTTTTATTCATGAGAGACACAGAGAGAGGCAGACACATAGGCAGAGGGAGAAGCAGGCTCCATGCGGGGAGCCTAATGCAGAACTCAATCTCAGGACCCCAGGATCACGACCTAGCCCAAGGCAGACGCTCAACCACTGAGCCACCCAGACGCCCCACCAATGAGCCATTTATAGTCACATAGCTTATATGTAACTGCCTGGATCTCAGATCTTGGGACTTCATAACCAGTTCCCACTGCTTTTGCTTCTCTGGGGAAATCTGGCAGGTGTCTGGAGACACTTTTAGTTGTCACAGCTATAAGAAGGTGCTACTGGCATCTACTGAGTAGAGACAAAGGAGGCTGCTAAACATCCCGCAACGCACAGGACAACTCCCACAACAAAGAACTATCTGATCCCACATGTCAATAGTGCTAAAGTTGAGAAACTCTGCCTAACCTCACAAAGGCAATAAAATTATAATCAAAGTGCAGAGGAGATGGATTGTCTACCAGTCATCAAACTATTTCTATACATAGGCAAGGGTAGTCCATTAAGAAAAGAGTTGTATTTGGGGATTTTAAGTAACATTATTGTTTTCTTGCCCATTTGTTCTGGACTCTTGCCATTTTATACATATATTTTAAATCCCAGGTATGGATACATTCTTTTTCTTAAAAGACATACCAACATTTGAAACAAAAGTCTATTATCTCACCCTGCTCTCTATGAAGAAAGAGGTCAGGTGGATTAACCCTGATCTCATTTCTTCTCCAATAAGTAAGGGACCATTTTCACGCACCTGTAATTCACATAGGGTCTGAAAATTGCTATCATCAAGCTATTAGTCTTTTAGGCAAAAAGTGTAAAATTGATATCAGGAGCAATATATAAACTTTTGTGGGCAAGAGGTGAACTTTGTGTTTGCCTTGAGCAAAGCTTCCAAGGGCAAGTCTGATATAAATGATTTGGAGAAGACCAAATACTGTCTTTAGGGAAAGAGAGCCTAGGTTTGGGGTGAGAAAGATGATTTGAATCATTGGCTTGCTACCTTTTCAGTGTATAACCTTGGACAAGCTACTTTATTTTCTGAGCCCTAGTTTCCTGGTCTATAACATGGGGATAATAAAATGCTACATCACGGGTTTAGGGAGAGAGTAGAGGGTACTTAGTGAATGTCAGTTGAAGAAACACGTTGATGGGAGCTAAGTGAGAATACCATAGCTGGTAAATGGCAGAGCCCAACTTGAGCTCTGTTCAACAGACTCTAATATACACGATCTCTTTACAATACATGCTGCCTCCTGAGAAGTTCAGATTTGATGCATGAATGGGGCTGGCAGGAAGGTGACACAGCTAGAGCCGTGTTTCAAAAGAAGGATGCTTAAAGACATATGAAGGGTGACTTGAAGGGCTGGGGAGAGAGACAGGCAGACAGACAATGGACAAGGAAGCCAGTCAGGGGGCTTTTGGGAACCTGATGCTCAGAGTGGAGACAATGTCTTACTCATTTGCATATCCCCATAGCTTAGCACTTATTTAAATAGCAGCACTTATTTATGGCAGTTACTTAGACTGAGTGAATACAGGAATCGTGTTAATGTATGATGTTGTGCTATGTTATATATTATTCTGAGTTATGTTATATTGTGCCGCTAACATCATACCACTTGCTTTCTCTGAATCTGTAAAATGGGAACAAAACCATGGCCAGTATCTTTTCAAGCTCTAGGAGTCTTTTTCTCCACCCCAACCTCCTTTTAGCTTCTACCTGCCCTTCCCAAGGAATGCTCCCTTTCCTCTTCCTGTGGATTCTGGGAGTGAGGAGTGAGAGACAAGGCACTGAGTGCTGAGCTCTGCTGGAAGGTCATGGGGAAGTTGCTCAATGGTCCTGACCTTCCCTGGAATTGAGTCATCTTTAACCAGAGTCACAGGGCAGCCCATTCTGCACTGACCGCCTAACAATGGGGCCAAATTTCCTGAACTTCCAGTAAGTGGTCGTCTGCCTTTGGCTGGCAGCCCATCCAGTCCTGAAGTGACCAGGCTGGTGACCTCAGCTGCAACCTATGAGCACAAGCCAAGGTCTGTTTGTCATGGGTCTTTCTGTACACATTACCAGGAATCCACTCAAGGCTACTGCAAGTGCCCTCTATTGACTTTTGGTTCTGAAGTGAGATGGCTGCAGTGTGGCTCAGTCCTATCTCTGAATTGCCCTGCAAGCTTGGCAAATCACTCCCATCTCAGCGCCTGAGGTTACTGTCCCATAAAATGAGAGATCTTCAAAGGAGCTTTCATTTTATGATTCTACGTTAAAATATATAGCCTTAAAAGCATGCTGAAGACAACCATATGTACATGCAATTTGAAAAATTTCAGCTTTTTCCCCCATCATCACACCTAACTAATAAAAATGGTGCTTTACTTTATACTGTTCTTCCCTTTTGCAATGGTATCTCTCATTCATTACTTCTTTAGATCCTCATAAGAATTCTAGGAAGTAGGTTATTATTTCCATTTTATAGAAAATGAGGCTCAGGTTTAAAGATGGACAGGAAAGAGTTCTAGGCCTCATAACTAGGATGTGAGCAGCATTTATTGAACTTTCACTCTGTGATAGACCTTTCCCATCTATCAGCTTTCATCCTCTCATTAAAGGAAGGTGAGAGTTTTGTTCCCATTTTAGAGACGAAGAAGGCAAGCTCTGACCTGACAGATCACACAGCTGGAACTAGTAGAGCTGAGATCCAATCGATGCCAGATTTTCTGGTTCCAGATTCAGTGCTCTCTACCACACCTACTACTTCCCAATCAGGGATCGATTCACCCTCAGGGAGCATTTGGCGATGTCAGGAGAAGTTCTGGTTTTCACAACCAGAAGTTATTGCCAGCACCTAGTGGGTAGAGGCCAGAGATACTTCTAAACATTCTATAATGCACGGGACTGCCCTCCCCTGCCAACAAAGAATTATCCAGCTGGAAATGCAGTCATACTGAGGTTAGGAAACCTGCTGGGTTATAAGTCATTTCTGGAATGGGTGCCTCAAATGCAAATGACCCCTTCCCCCCAACCTCCCCACACTTATACCGAAAAGAGAAGTGTTCAGTATTGCCAGCACATCACACATAATAAATACTTTACACTCTCCCTGCTTTGTAAAAGTACTGGTGGGGGCAGATGAGTTGGCATAGACAGCTGCTGAGCTCTCTTTCTCTGGGATTGGGGGACTGCAGCTTTCAGAGATAAGCAGGCCCATGTTCAGAATGGCTCTTGCACTTAATAATTTGAGCCTGATCAAGTCACTCAAACACTCGGAGTCTCCGGAGTTTAGTACCTGCTCCGAGGAGTGGCTGTGAGGATTCAACGCAGTGGGATAGAACTGAGTGTCTAGTTCCATGCCTGGCATGTAGCAGACCCTCCAGAGGCTTGATGGCCAGTTCTCGGGCTCTGGGAAGCTGGAGACCCAGGGAGGGGCTCTCTGTTCTTTCTGCACCCACAGATGCAGCCCATCCATGAGGTGCTACGACATACAACCCTGGGGCCCCTGGAGACCAAACGCCAGAACCTGCACCGGGCCTTGGACCAGTACCTGATGGAATTCAATGCCTGCCGCTGCGGGCCCTGCTTCAACAATGGGAAGCCCATCCTTGAGGGCACCAGCTGCAAGTGTCAGTGCCCGCTGGGTCGCAAGGGCCTTGCCTGTGAGCAAATGGAGCAAAAGGGTAAGACCCGTGCATCCTTTTCTTTGTTTTTTTTTAAGATTCTATTTTTATTTATTCATGAGAGAGAGAGAGAGAGAGAGAGAGAGAGAGAGAGAGAGAGAAGCAGGCTCCCTACAGGGAACCTGATTCAGGACTCAATTCCAGGACCCCAGGATCATGACCTGAGCTGAAGGCAGATGCTTGACCACTAAGCCACCCAGGTGCCCCAGGTCCATACTTAGATTTGAGCCTGGCCCAGTTCAGAGGGGCCAGCACAGAAAGGATCTTTGGGGTTCCCAGCCTCTCCTTTCTGTGACCTCTTGCCCCCTGACCTAGGAACCTGTGTTCTGAGTTTTATGGCTGACTCCACCTCTTTGCTTTAATGGTGCTTATGCTTTCTCCCTGCTATCAAGACCCTCTCTCAGATGAGATCTGTGGGTTTTTTGTTTTGTTTTGTTTTGTTTCATTTTGCCAAGGTGTAGATGGATATAGGATTCATTTCTGGAAGGATATATTAGTTTCCTAGGGTTGCCATAAGAAATCACCACAAGTTGGGTGGCTTAAAGAAACAGAAATTTATTGTCTGACACTTCTGGAAGTTAGAAATCCAAAATTCAGGTGTATTGGCCAGGTTGATTTCTTCTGGAGGCTCTGAAGGTAGACCTACCTTTCCCAGCTTCTGGTGGTGGTTGGTAATCCCTGGCATTCCTTGGCTGGTAGATGTGTCGTTCCAATCTCTGCTTGTCTCCACGTGGTGTTCTCATCCATACAACTCTTGTTTTCTCTGCTTATGAGAAAGCTACTCATTGGGGCAGCCCAGGTAGCTCAGCGGTTTAGCACCGCCTTCGGCCCAGGGCCTGATCCTGGAGACTTGGGATCGAGTCCCACATCGGGCTCCCTGTATGGAGCCTGCTTCTCCCTCTGCCTGTGTCTCTGCCTCTCTCTGTCTCTGCGTGTCTCTCATGAATAAATAAATAAAATCTTAAAAAAAAAAAAAGAAAACTACTCTTTGGATTAGGACCCACCCTAATCCATCATGGCCTCATTTTAATATGACTTATTCCAAAAACTCTATTTCCTAATATAGTCACCTTTAGACGGGATGGTATTTAGACTTGAGCGCATCTTTGGGGGTACACAATTCAACTCACTACAAGAATTAAGTAGTTGCATTACAGTGCAAGGAATTATGAGCAAAACCCAAAAGGGCTGGGGCAAGTGAGATTTAAATGTATCATGGCATAGCATGAACCGATTGCCACCAGGGAAGGAAGAAGGCTCTCAAACAAGGGTTAGAATTCCATATTCCTTAAAGATGAAGTCTGAGGACCTGGATGTGAGTTCCAACTACTTCTTCCCTAACTTCCTGTGAGATCCTCGTCAACCGTATCTTTTCTCTGGGGCTCATCACTCTCATTTAAGTTTCCTCTGACCCTCAAGAATATCTAGCCCAAGAATTCATCCCAAATCTCTAAGCTTCCAATTTTCCACACATGCAAAGCTGCTTATACTGTACGTGGAATGAGGGCAAGGACACAATGTATAAATCGGTCTCAACTGGCAAGTGCATTATAGACAATGTGAAGGAAAAAAGAAGGAAGTCTGGAGAGGTATATCTAAGGTATTACTCTGAGGTCCATAAAATGAACCGCTGATACCCATGGTAAGATGGGGTGGAAGCCTGGGTTTAAAATGAGCTTATGGTGCATTATAATTTCCTCATTGGAGGAGTAGATCTAAACAGGAAGCAGGGTAGCAGAGTTCTGGTGGCAGATAGGCCTCTGAATACCAAGGTTGCCAATTTTCATCTGAGAATCCCCTGAAAAATGGGGTTAGTATCAGTACCTTTCTCACAGTTTGTGTTGATGTTACACACTAGCCAACACATGTGTCAGGCTCTATTATGATACATAAGAAGAAGAAGATCTATCTTGGCTTGGTGCCTTGTCTTAATCCCTCCTTTGCTGGATGAAGGGAGTGCAAATTAAATCCTCCTACAGGAGGAATTCTGAGAGGAATGAGCCAAGAAGGTGAGTGAATCCAAGGGTCCTTACGAAGAAGGATGCAGAGAATAAAAAAACAAGTAGACTAATTACTGGGGCAGAGATTGGCATAGTCTTCTCATGTAAACTGAAAAAAAAAAGCACTACCTGACAGGTGGTTAAAGAAACAATGAAACTTTTTGGGTCTGATACAGATCAGCTCTAGGGCCCAGGGATTTCTTTACTTTTCAAGCAGACTGTGGACTGGGTTTCAGCCCTCATTCGCCCCATTGGCCAGCCAGCTTTTCCAGAGGGACCAAAGGTCTGTGGACAGAAAGAATAACTAACCTTTATTCTGTGCCAGGTGCTATCCCAACACTTCATGTGCATGAACTCATCTCTTCCTCCAAGAATAAGTTCTGTTACTAGCCCCAATTCACAGAGGAGGAATTGGCACAGGAGGAAGGTGACATACCTTGCTCAAAGTCATCCAGCTGGGGAGTGTCAGAGCCAGAATTTGGACCCAGGGGGGTGGACCCATGCTAGGACACAAGCTCTAAACTGTTACATTTTACTGATGTACATCCTGAGAGTCAGAGTCAGGAAATTTCAGAAATGAGGGCAGAGAGTCTGAGATGATTGCATTGACCATTATTTTGGGGGTGGGAAGAGAAGGTAATGTCCTGGTTCATAGTCATTAGCCTAACCCTGCCTCAGTAATTACACTATGGCATGTGCCCGCAGTACCAGTGACTTGCTTGGATCCCTTGGATCCTTGTCCAAGATCACAGAGGTAGAGAGGAAGAAGGAGTGTGGGTTACCTAGTTATGTCTCTTCAATGGTCCAATGCTGGGTTCAGTTGCAGCCATGCTGAGTCATCTGTACACACAATGGGCCCTGGGGAAGGGGGACATGATGCCAATGACCCAGGGGTGATGACAGGGCTCAGAGGATGGGTCTTCTTCCTCAGAGCCCATTTCTCCTGCTAGATTACATTCAGTCAATTGCAGGCAGCTCACAGGTATTCCATTAACCTTGTTACAAACACTGTGTGGACATCAGGTAGCCTTGGGGACTGAATGTTCAGCGTGACAAAGATTAATTCAGTAAGGAAATCTAAGACTGGGAAGTCAGCCACCATGGAGACCCACTGACATTGGTCCCTAAGGATTTTCCCTGCAAACCTTTGCCTATGGGGACCAAGTCACAGAGGCAGCAGAGAATCCTGCTGTGGCTGTCTCACCAGGGAGTATAATTACAAAACTGGAAGGGACCTGAAGATAATCTAATCCAGTGATATTCACACTGGGATTTGAGAAAACTTGTGGTCTTAGGGGCTGCCCCAGGGGAGCAGGGCAAACCTGATAGACACCCCAGCTTCAAATAAAACAGCTTGACTTTCATCTGGCTGCCATATTAGGGCTTTTATAAGATTTCATTTAAGGGGGGAAAACCAGTAATGAAAAAAAAATGATGGAAAACCCCCACCAGATTAGCCTAGCTGTTTCATTTACAGAAATGGAAACTCAGGCTGAGAGAGGGCCTGCCCCAAGGCACAGAGCCAGAGGAAGGCAGCAGCCCCAGGCCAAGGGACTGCATGAGCTGGATTTCCAGAGGTGACCCATGATCAGTGCCTGTGCTGTCATGCTCTGAGCGGAGACTCTGTCACCCACTGTGGCCCCACCTTAAGAGTCTGAGCGAGTCTGACTTGCAAACCCTCACAAAAGCCCAGCAAGCCACTCCACGGGGCTGTCAGGCTGGCCCTTGTCTGAATCCTTGGCTGGGCTATGCTCTCTGCTCTTCAGACCCTCCAGTGGCTCTGTGTCATTCCTTCAGAGAAGCATGCCTTCCTGCCTTACTCTGCTATCTATCTTCCATGGAAGCGCGCACTCCAATTTCATGAGATGGGCTCTCAGTGGCCTCTTCTCACTCCATCCAGAGTTTCAAATTAAGTGCAAGGCGGCGAGCACAGAGGTCTTGGTTGGCTACACCAGGCATTTCCCCAAGGACAGATTGCAGACCACTCTAGGGTAGTGGGATGGGCCTCCTTCCTTATATAAAGTCTGAGCTGCTTCTTGTATGCTAACCTCCTCTTCCCCTGGGAAATAATCTGTGCAGGAGCCAAGGCCGATGGTCACTGGAGCTGCTGGAGCTCCTGGTCGGCTTGCAGAGCAGGCACCCAGGAGAGGAAGAGAGAGTGCAACAACCCCGCACCCCAGAATGGAGGTGCCTCGTGTCCAGGGTGGAAAGCGCAGACCCAGGCTTGCTGATGGCCCCTGGGCACAGATGCTGTGGATGTCACTGGATAACGACTTCTTTCAGCTGAGGGAAAATTGAATCAACATGGATTTCTTTGTCCTGCCAACTGCCAGGCCCAGGACCAGCCGTCTACAACCAACTGCCCTATGACTCTAGTCGATCAACAACTGGGTGCTGGACGTTAACTAGGGGCTCAGTCCTGCTCACAGCACTTTGGAGCACCCCCCCCCAAAAAAAATCCCAAACCAAGAGAGAGATCTCAATCCATGCCATAGAGGGATTTATAGGATGTTAGAGGTCTGAGGCCAGCAGATGTAGCTGAAACAATCGATGGCAAATAAAACAAAGTATGATGAGAATGATTTCAGTTCTTTGATTACAATATTTGCTCATTCAAAGACCCATTACTAGTTAGTAGAATAAGCAGACCCACTGAAATAATGAGGAAAAAATGAGGACCGACGTGAGTGCCTTCAATTTTCCTTCCTCTGGATTCAACAGTATTTTCATTTATTCCCTCACTTAATCTCTCTCATTTACGTTCTTACCACAAATAACACAGTTCCCCCAGTTAGCTTCTCATGGTCCCCTAGCCTTTTCCTTTGTTGCATTTTTCACAATTCATCATTCTATGTTGGCTGCCATAGGTCCTGTGACTCTTTATGACCTGCTTCCCCTGAGATAGTTATCAGGAGAGCTCAGTTTTGTTTGGTTCAGCACTGTCTCCCCAGAGTCTCGTGCTGAGCCTTGAATTGGGAGAGACCATCCAAGCATCTTTGGATGAAGTGAGAGCTGAGCTCAAGAGTCAGTTCCAAAACGTGGTCCATAGTAGTCAGCTCCCCAGACTGGAGCGTGGATGTGGAGAGGCCAACCAATGCTGATCCGTGCGCCTTCCCTGCCACCTGTGGGAGAGCCAGTCACACCAGTCTGCCTCAGTATCCCCACAATACTCCAGTCATATCTTGGACAGAGAATGTGTTGTGTCATGCTGACTTTTCTGTTGAACCTCCAAGTTTCTCCTATAGGTTGGGAGCTCCTCGGTGGTGAAACCTGCATTTCCCATAGGGACAAAAACATTTGTAGGTTGACATTTATTGGTGCTCCCTATCTTTCCAGAATCCTCCATCTTTTTAGGGTAATAATAGGATACATATACATGAAACAATTAGAAGGCGTGTCAGGGATGCAGGGTATTAATGTCTAAGTTGATGCCAAAATAAGTGCCAAGGGAGGTCAGGTGGGAGAGAGATTCACCTTCCCTTGTGTGTTATAAATGAAACAGGGCTTGACCTAGACCTTGAAGGATTATAAACTAGGCAAAGAGGGAAGAGGCCTTTAAGATAGAAATTTGGCATGCAAAACAAAATTTGAAGGTGAGAAGGAATCTTGCAGGGGGGAGGTGCACATGTATTGGGAATGGAGAGTGGGGAAGAAGGTGAAAGTAAATATGTCATATAAAACAGCACAGTGCCTGTCACACATGGAATTATTAGCATCACCCTTATTATTACTATTGTTACTATCATTAATTAAAACATATAGTTTGGAAGTTTCATTTCTGAACTCATTAGATCTTCCATCTGAGAGAAGAAGACTCCTTTACTCCTTCTCATCCTGTCATTAATTTGTTTTTTTCTTTTTAAAGTCAGTTTACATTAGTAGTTAGTTTCCATTCATTATTTACTAGGAAGTGGTAGTTACAGGCTAGCAACTGACTGAGGCCGGGTGGGCAATTTACAGAGCACATCCAAGTTGGGTCTGAAAACGGTAGTTCTCAAGCTCAGTTGCACAGTAGAATGAGCCGGGGAGTTTTAAAAACCTTGATGTCCAGAGGCTGCACCTCAGACCCATTAAATCCAAGTGTCTGGGGGTAAGAGCCAAACATCAGTAGTTGTAAAGCTGTTCTTCAATAAAACAAGAAAGAAGCAAGCAGCCAAGGCTGAGAACCCTTGCGTGTCGAGGAGTCATCACGTGTTCATGGGAACAGGTGTGTAACAAAGCCAAAAGGGCAGCCACAGTGGGGTTTATCTGTGCTATCTCATCAAGCCTGACCAGGGACCTCTTCGGGTTTGCTTTATGAGTCCCATGTCACAGCGAAGGAAACTGAGCCTTGGCAAGGCTGAGCCTCATGGTCAGCCAGGGTTTGAATGCAGTGCAACAGGCCAGTGCTCCCCACCTTCGTTCTGTGATGTCCATCAGTGCGGGGACTCACAGGATGGTGTGTGGGCTGCGGGGGAGAGGCGAGGAAGCTCCTTCTGGGGTAAATCTAGTCATCTAGGCGGGAGATGACAACGCTAGGGTTAAGCAGGTGCCTGGATCACCTGTGAGCCAAAACCACCATCTGAGCCATGCCGCCTTCCTGTCGCCAGAGCCGGAGAACCAGGGCCAGCATCTGCCCCCCACCTCCAAGGATGCTGCATCTCCAGCAGTTTCAGAAATCACAATACACTGGCAGGGCAGTTTCAGAGGCAGCAACCCCTCCCCAGATCAGTGCCTTTCCCTCTTCAAGAATGCCTGGCTCTCGCCAAGCAAAAGGCATAAAGCTCGTCAAATGTATTTTCCCTCAGGTCCTTTCAGGAGACCTATAATCTACGGCTTTATAGGTAGCAGATGTAAAAACACGGCTTAAAGATATAATCTTCAGCTTGACAAGGTGTCTTTTGGAAAGTAAATTAATGACAGACTGAGAAGCAATAAGGAGAGGCTTCTTTTCGCTTTTTCTTCTTTGAGAGAGAGGAAGATCTAAAGAGTTCACTCAATGAATCTCTTCTGAACTGTATATGCCTTTAGGGTGAAGAGAACGGACAGAGAGGAAGGATAGGCTGCAAAAACCACGCTGCAGAAATGAAGCCTTCGGGAGTCAGGAAGGGAAGGGGATGTGATGCGCATTAGCGAAGGCCACCCCCCTTCATGAAGGCAATCAGGGCTGCTACCCCTTCGCTTGGGAAATAGGCAAAGCACCCGGAGGAGCTCAGGGTGCTAGGCCCCTTGCCAAGTGCCAGAGATGCAGAAGTGAATCGGATGTGGTTCTGACTCTGCAAGAACCCCAGTCTGGTGCAGGAGGCCAGGGATGGCTACAGGTCTCATGCCAGTGGGAAGCCCAGAGGGCTGCGGGGGCTAGCCCGGCTGGGGGAGCAGGGAGGACAGCCCGGAGGAGGAGAGGATCGCCAGCGGAGTCTAGGAAATGAGTGGGAGTTAGATAAGCAGGGAAAGGTAGAGAAAGGGCAGAGGAAACAGCATGTACAAAGTCACAGGGGTGGGAACCCATGGGGTGGGGTGGCAGGGGTGGCAATTTACTGCTCAGCTCCTTGTTTTGGATGCTGGTCCTTCTCAGGCTGGGGACTGCTGAGTTCAGACCTTTGGTTTGGTCACTGAGCCTTTCCTGAGGGCAGCTGGTGCTTGGTCCTGGGGAAATTTCTGTAGATGCCACTTCCCTGTTATTTCCCTGTGCTCATCTCGGGCACTCCTGGTGGTTAGTACCCCAGAGCCCAAGTGCTTTTAACTGGATTCATAAGGTTCTCTAGGATCTGATGCCAACATGCCACTCCATCTTCAGCTCCTTTTTTAGGTTCTATGAGCGACTTATACTAAAAATCTATTGCCCTTACAGGATGTACAAAGCCCTATACGTCTAGCTTTTGGCTCTCTTTGTTTTCTTCTATTTACTCCTTCCCTCGATCATGTTGCTCTAACCATGAAAGCCTGTTTGTGGTTCCTCACACATGCCAAGCTCTCTCATGCCTCAGAACCTTTGCATCTGCTGTCCCCACTGCCTGAAATGCTCATCCACTAAATGAGCTCATCCAAGACTCATGCCCTTGTTTCATTCAAGTCTCTGCTCAAATATTACCCCTCCAAGGGCCTTAGTCCTATTTATTTTTCTTGTACGGCACTTAGCACTACCGGAGATTATAGATTTGCTTATCTTCTGTTTTGCTTGGTATGCCTCCCCCATTAATACGTAAATTTTTTCATGCCTAGATCCAAGGTGCCTAGAATAGCATTTGTCCTTAATGGCGGGGGGGGGGGGGTCAACAAATATTTGTTGAATGAATGATTTCCCATTTAGTTCCTCAAACATCTCAGGCTTTTTGTCCCCTGCAGGTCTTTGCACATACTACCCTGAATGAAGCACCCTACCTGCCAACTCCCCCTTCTCCTAGCTCTTTGCCAGTAATCTTCAGGCTAGAGGTTAGATGTCAAGTCCGACCCCTCCCATTTGCCTGCACTTCATCAGGTGCCACTCCTTCCTATGGCTCTGTATTCCAGCACTTTCCAGTCTATCACTATGGCTTACTTGTCTGTCTCCCTCACCTAGTAGCATTTGTAGAGCAGATAGAAACTCATCTTTATTTTTGGAACCTCAGTACCTAGCATAGTGCCAGGCACATAGGAGATTCCTAGTCAAAGTTTATTGGATGCTGTTCTCTCTCTGGTCCCTCTGTGCTAGAAGCAAGGGCTCTAAAATGACCTTAGCATGTAAGGTCAAGAATTTGTGGGAGAGAACCCCATGGAAGATATTCTCATAGGACTTCCAGGTCCTGCAACCCTCCTGGTGTATCAGAGGAGAGCCCACACCATTCCAAGAGGCTGTGTAAACTTGAGACAGAGACCACCTTTTCAACCTTAGTGAAGAAAAGCCCATCAAATCGAGTTAAAAATTCTGCATTAGTGGCCTTGGGGGTTCTCCCCTCCCCTGGGAGAGATAAAGGAAACTGCTTCCCTTCTACATTAGCAGCTTAAAATGTGAGATAAATCCTCCCGCCTAACCAGTTTTTAACAAATGGACTTTGCTGTCCAGTGGCATGATACATGTCTGATGGATCTATTTATCCATTCTATTTCTTTAGAGATAGCAGCTAAGAAGTTTTATCTATTATTCGCCTCCCTCCTCCATTCCTATTTTCCTAACCAAGCATGTAGAGCCAGCAGTTGATGGATGGATGGTGTTTGGGATAAAAGGGACCAGAATCAGATAGTTTTCAGGATATGAACAAACTGGCTTATTAACAAGGAGGCCCGTCAGGCAGGAGGCAGTGGGGGGAAGAAGGAGTGGATACCAGACAATGGCCAGTGATGGATGAAGGAACACCTGGGGTTGCAAGGTGGAGACGCGAGATAACCGGTGGGTGCAACCACGGATAATGGCAGTGCCTGGGTGCTGCAGCGGCCTCCCGCACAGAGGTGAATGTCAGACCAGCCATTTGACTCTCTTTGACAATCCTCCAAGAATTTCCTACCACAAATGTAATCCCTGTTTCTTCCTCTTTTCCTTTCTGTAAAATGTAACCTACATGCCCCCAAAAGAGACAGATGCTAGGCAGGGTGAGAAGAGGCAGATGGTAGACAGGGTTTGTTTAGCA